ATAGACCCTCCTTCTAGATTCAGGCCACTTTTGCACTTAAGATTTCGCCCGCGCTCAGGACGTTTCTCCATAACTGTTCAGGGATAGGGAAGGTGGAGTGTTACCTGGAGGTAGGAAAGGTGATATTCGAGTAGGGCCTGGGCATTGCTGATATTTTCCCGAGTGCCGACAAAGATGAAAGGAACCATTCCCTGGGAGAGAAGAGATTCAATCAAGTCTTGGCCACCCCCCAGCGGCTCCTCCTGCCACACACTGATCTGCGTCCACCTACCTCCTCTCGGGCATTCTTCTTGTCATTGTCCCCTTCCACCCGCACCCGGACGACTCCGGACTTGTCCACAATTTCTTGGATCACTTTGCCATTCTTCCCAATCACTTTGCCTGTTGAAGCGGGGTTAGCAGAGAGGTGACACCCACCAAAACCCTGGCTCTGCTGTTCCCCCGCTTTCAGCTGAGACCCCCCCCCACTCCTCTATCACTCAGGTCACTTGTGTTCAATCCTACGACTGATGGAAATGAATTTAAGAGGAGACGCCAATACAAGACGAAGGTGGGGACAAATGGTCCCAACAAAACACTGTAACACCCTGTTATCCTCTGTTGAATGAACCTTTTCACCCGAGTACTTTCCTTCCACCCTGGCAGAGATTTTTTTCCATGAAGTGAGCTTAATTCCATGGGGAAGGGCACCAGGTCACACCTCTGCACCCCTAAAGACACCACAACAGACAGCTGCTCACTTCCAGATAGGGTTCCCCACCCCAGAACTTATCATCTTAAGTTTCCTTTGGTAGCCCTACTTCAGAAAGCTAGCAGCCTTCTAGCGAGAGAAATGCACAATGGACCCCTCAGAGACAGGCATCTCCCACTCCCCAGTGGGGATGTCCCATCACACAGACATTTGCCCCTGGGGGATGTCCCAGGAACACTGGGCCCCTGTAGGGGTCACTACCAAGCATGGTAACAGCCATGACATTTACCAACAAGGTTTCTTGGGACTTGAACAGAGTCTTCTGAGAATTCTAGGTAGCTCCGGGCCTGCTTGCATGCCTCAGGAGTCTGCAGGTAGGAGACAAAGGACTTGGTTACCTGGTCAAGTAATCGTCCTGACTACCTCCAAAACAGAGAGAGAGAACCCAGGAGTGCTAGTTTCCAGCCCGCCTCCCCCCCCCCCAGTTTAATCCACCAGTCCCCCTTTCCCTCACCAAGAGAGCCAGGAGCCCTGCCCTCACCTCCCCGTAGATGCGGAAGGTGCACGTCTCCTCATCTAACTCTATGGCAGTGACTCCAGGCACCTTCCTGGCCTGCTGGATGTTGGCACCATGGGTGCCAATGGCCAGCCCCATGAGGTCTTCGCGGACAGTGAACTCCTCCTGGAACGCCGAGGCCAGCTGCTTACTCGTCTGGGGAGAAAGAGTGCACCACAACAGGGAGTCAAAGTGGTGGCCAGGGTGAGGGAGAAACTGCAACAGGCCAAGAAATGCCAGTTCCCACTAGCTGAGGGTGGGCACTGTGCAAGAGTGCTCCAAGGCCGAGAGAAGAGGACAGTATTGTTGCACGCTGGCTGACGGAGATATCCTCCACATGGTCCCTCAGAGCCACTCAAGTGGGAGGCATCTACTCTGCTGGAGCCATGCCCCTGGCTCCTGAGACCCCTCCATGGAGTCCAACTCTGTTCCTCCCAAGTGGCTCAGCACTAAGGTAGCTGAGCTTAGGAAGGGGTAAGCCCTAGGAGGTCTGTGTGCAGCTCTGTATTCCCCTCCCCCAGTCCCTGGAGGGTCTGGAAACCCGCCACACCTGTTTTGGTGAGGCACCAGCTTCACCACATGAGCAACGGTTTGTCTGGTCTGCCACCTAGGTGTGAGGAGAAAGCAAGCGGCTCGGCTCGCCTTGGGTTAGGGCCATCACCCATGCCTAGGCGCCTGGATGGTGCGGTTCCACCTCACCTCCAAGTGCTTGTTGGCTTCCTCATTCCGAGACATCAGCATGAGCTTGGTGCGGATGCTGCGGAGGTGCATGTCACCCAGCAGTGATGCCCGCTTTATCGTGGATTCATTTGTAGACTATGGGGGAGAAAAGCATCAGTGGTCAGCAGAACTAGAGCAGCTGCTGGCCACAAGAGGTGGCCAGCCCTATGACACCACCCCATCCTCCAAACCATCCATCCATCCCCACCCCAGCTGATCTGCCATGAACCTGCCACCCCTATGGTCCTCCATTACGCTGGCTGTGCGCTCCTGGCTCACCAGGATGAAGAGTTCGCTGTTGGCGACATTGAGAAAGATGCTGTTTGCTCCCACCGCCTTTTTGAATTCCTTATGCACATTTTCATTGGAGCACCTGAGTAGAGAAGCGACAGGTTAGCAGAGCAGAGAGCAGCTCAGCAGCATACCAGCACAGCTATGGGAAATGTAAGTGCACCATGGGGAAGGTATTCTGGGGAACTCCCAGGCCTAGACAATCCTTGCCAGGTGTTTGTCCGACCAGATCTTAAAAACCTCCAAAGCTGAGAATTCATCACCTTGAAAACCTGTCCCCTCTTAATAGGTCAGGTGGGGTTTTTCAATTTCAATTAACTAGATCCTCTCCAGAGGAAGCAGCCACAGAACAAGGATAGAAGAGGTGGGTGGGTGGACGGACATTAAGACTAGGGATATTAGAGCACATCTGATTAATCAGTAAGCTGATGCTCATCAGTTAATGGTATGGGTTACACTCAGCTGGCTCCCAGGGAGGTGGCTTTGCCACAGCAGGGTAATAAAGCTTCCTCCATAGGAGCTAGGTAGGCAGTAAAATCTTCTCCCCAGGAGCTGGGCAGGTGGCCCTGCTCTCAGGGAGGCTTCACTGTAAGCTCTGCAGTATAAAGCTTAGAGCCCACAGCATGTGCAACCATGGAACTGCTAACATTTTTTAGCAGATACAGTTACTGTATTAAACAATTTTTAACATCTCTAAGACCCAGCAGTGCCCCAGAAGGTAACCTACACAGCTGCATATTCCTTTTCGTGGAACACAAGTCCTGCTGGTAAGCTCACTGGGTGACCAACAACCCATATGGCCAATCTGCTGTCTTTCCCCAGAAATGCCTCACCCCATCACAGCTGATCATGCCCTAGGAAATCTAGGGGACATTTAGAGTAACTGAATCAGGCTAGCACACCTAGAAAAGCCGGGGTCGTCTGGGCAGCAGTGGGCACATAACCTGGGCACTGGGCTGCTTTGTATTCAGACAGCTACTCACTTGTCCACCTGCATAGGGAAGAACACTTCCAGTTGCAGCGTAGGGGATAGACCAATAGGGGGCACACAATGTGTTGTAATAAACCTCTTCTCCTCTCAGAGCCCACTGCAGGCTATTCACAGTATAATTACAGCAGAATAATGCTGGTCAATTTCCTCATATGGCGCCTTTAAACACAGCCCTGGTCTCTGGCTCCCTCGCCATGGAGGAAAAGCCAAGCTAGCAACTTTTCTTTAATCCAAGGGTGGTTAGCTCCCCTAGGTCGCTGTTTCACTCACGCCTCCTTGAGGTCCTCCGGCACAGCAATGGTGTATTTGAAGAAGCTGGATTTGGTGGCCACTTTGTTGGGGTTAACGGGCCGGAGTCGCTCCAGTGTGACGATTTCGTTGTAGGTGGCATCACAAGCTGCATATTCAATTACATAAAACTGAGGAGAGAGAGAGATTGGGTGAGAATGAGAGAGAGAGAGAGAGAGAGAACTGATGGCATGGGGTCCCAGCACACACAGGGATGGGCTTTGCAATCCAAATACAGCCTGGGAAGCCAAATCATGCTCAGCACCTCGTTTTCAGATGAATTAACCTGTCGCTCTCGCTGCCACTGGATATGAGTGAGGCCATGCACTTTGCAAGATTCATAGAAAGGAGGACTAGATAAGAATTAGAACAGCGACCACTAAAAAGTAGGGGATAAAAAATCTTGCATGATTCAGATCGAAATTAAGGTCAGGAAAGGGGGCAACGCTCAGTGGGGAGCCCCTAAATGTTCATGATCTGAAACCCTACGGTGTGGTTTTATATCCCTTTGCAGGCTCCCTCTCTCATGGCAGTATTTCCTGTAATCTCAGGAGAGATTCAAATGCCACCCAGCTGATTAGCAGACAGCCCACAACTAGGTTTTGTTTCTATGGATGGTACACATTCACATATGCCTCAGTGCACACACACATTTATTCCACACAAGATTAAAAGGGACATTGCATGGGAGCCTTCACGGATCTTTAGGCTGGGTGGCATCACTGAGCTCATCTGATCTTGACCTTCTGCACAAGCCAGGGCTGTCCCTTCCAGCTGAGCCCAAGCATCTTTTAGAAAGAGAGAGACTATCCTAATTATAACCTTGCCTCCTCCCGCTTGCATTCAGGTGGCATGCCGAAGGGACAGCAAGCTACACAAAGCGCTGGGAGCTGGCGCGAAGGCATCGGGGTAGATGTGAGCAATCAGGGCATGGAGTTGGGCAGAAAAATCCATAGAAACTTACGTCTCCTTTCATCATCCGGACCCTTGCCAGCCACTCATTGGCTCGGGAATAAACCTAGAGAGACAGGAATATGGTCAGCAGGGGAGCCAGTGAGGACAGCAGGCTCACAGTGGACAACCCCAAAACCCAAAGCACACCCACCTACCTCCACTTCATCCCCTTCTGTAATCTCTTTGTTGTAGTCCGTGGGTGGGGGGAGCCGTACATCACTGAAAGGAATCTGTCGCTCTGGTTGCCAGCTATGAGGAGACAAAAAAGCAGGATGATTTTTCTTGCATGGACTGAAAGCAACTTTACCCTGGATTCGCCTGTAGATGGCACCACAGACTGAGAAAAAGATCAGATACTACAAGACTTGTTTGTTCGGGGTCAGAGGCAGCACCAGGTCCTGTGCACACACACCACATGAGCCTGTCTGCCTTGAAGAGTTTGCAATTATCCCCACTTTCCCAAAAGACCAGAGTCTATGGCAGTGATGGAAATGGGAGAGCTGAGCTCAGATTCCTAGTCTAAGTGCTTGATAACTGCCCTTATCCCAGCAATTCTGGGATTGTTGTCCAAGTTGTAAAGCTCTTTTCAATTTGTATGTACATAGCACCCATAACAGGTCCCAGCCTACAAATCCGAAGCGCTACCACAATACGACAACCACCGTGAGGCCACTAGTTGGACTCTGCAACAGAAAGAGGGTACCACACATGGGGGAGGATAAACTTTTCCTTCAGCTAAATCCATTTTAACTTTCTACCACCTAAGGAGGAATTTTTGCCTCACTGTTTTAAGGATTAATTTACGTCTGTTTGCAATTAGCGGCTCCCAGTGCAGACAACACTCCACGACCCTATGAGCCTGAGGCTTTTTGCGACTCCAACAGTGGAGAGGAAGCAGACACTTTGAACACCATCATGTATTTTAAACACAAGACATTTCAGCTTCTCCCTATTCTTACTGTCTCAGTGCTGGTGCCATCTACAGTCATTTGTAACCCTTGGTTAGCAACTGCCCCAAACCAAAGTTCCAGCATCCACACTGCATTCATTATGTGGGCCCTGTCCAACTACCCACATGTGACTACTCTAGCTCAGTGTTTCTCAACCTTTTTTTTAATAAAGTATTCCCTTAAAAAAATTATAAGTACCCCTAGTAACTGTAACAGACTAACTCGGCTACTCCCTGAAGCTCCTAGTACCTACAGTTTTCAGACACACAATTTTATTTTCCTACCACTGCACACATTTGTTTAAACAACTTAATCGTAGCCGGGCAGGTGATGAAATTTTTGAAAATAAAAAAGTACAAAAATAATAAAGCGCTGTAAAACTTAAAACAAAAATTCAGTTTTCTCCAAATTTCAGTTGTATTGATGTACCCCCCCCAAACGTCTCTCAAGTACCCCTAAGAGTACTCGTACTACTGGTTGAGAAACACTGCTCTAGCTTTGTTCAGGGGGCGGTGTGAGAAAGCTTGACTGTCCACCAGACTTGATGCCCCAGGCTAAAAAGTCAGCTTGGAGGATACGTTTGGTGGACTTCTAGCATGTGAGTCCAGTGAGGCTACATCAGCACTGCCAAGCAATAGAACTTGAGCACCAGGTCACCCAGCTACACTCAGGCTACGATATCTGGTCAGGGAGATTTGGAAGCCAGAAGTGAACAGCTGTCTCCGCAGGGAAATTTCACCTGCTCAGCAACGCTGCTAGAAACCCCATAAGGACATGGCACCTAATGGAGTGGGGAAGAGCTATTTGAGGAATGGAGGAGACTCTACCTTCAAAGGACTGCTCACATATGTGCAGCTCATTTCTCCCTCCAGAATCACAGCCAAAAAGCAGAGGGAGCCAGCGTAGCATTTAACTCAGGTATCTAGCAAGCTCTGGAACTAATGACAGTGTCACATCACTACCTAACGGCACAGGTGTTAGCACTGGGATTTTCATGGTTAATTACCCCATGATCTGAATAGGAGATCGTAACTACAGACAGCTGAGCTATCGCAGTGGCACAGGCTGCAGGGAGTGTATCCTGCCACCTGGAGGGGCCTGGATTCGAAGCTCTAGCCACACTCTTACTGGCAATCCTCCAGCATTACTAGTTTTTACTGGTGGCTCAGAAATAGACTCCTGGAGTGAACACGATGCCCTGAAACCAGCTAGCATAGAAATTCAAGGAAACATTGCACCTGCCTAACCCACAGCAGCTAGGCTCAATCCAACAGGGAGCTTTAAAAGGAAGGCAGAAAGGTCGCTTGCCTGAGATCAGATGATGGAAGAAAATCCAGCACACTGAAGCGGCATAGGAAGCGGCATCTTTTACTTATACATCATCAGAGACACAGCCAGGGCCATAACTGCTTTTATTAAAGCGGTGTGTGGTGTAAGCTGATTTATAAACCCCTTTATCCTGTTACTGATTTAGGCTCTTAAAAGGGGAAACATTTCAGTTCTCTGGTTAAAAAGAATAATCCACCAGGGAAACTAGATAAAAACAGAACAGCCGAATTCCTGTTTAAACAGCAACCGGCACCTGTTTGGAATACTCTGTTTCGTACCCTACTTCACTGCTCCCTTCCACCCCAGAGGAATCTGCATCTTAGTGCCCTGGCGAAGGATTACTTTAGAAAGAGATGGCACAGCCCAGAGGTAGCAGCTTCTCTGGGCTGGTAGACAGGCCAGCTGTACAGGAAATCCCTGAGTTGCGACTATTTTTTAATGTGCAGAAGGGGCCAAAACCCCCCGGCTTATGTCCCTGGCCCACATTTAGGATGGTGCACAGCGCCTATCGTCAATGAAGATTTGAGTTACGACGCCCCCGACTTGCGACACTTCCCCGGGAACCAATCGCGTCGCAAGTCAGGGGTAGCCTATACTCTCAACTATCTACCAAGCTGCATTTAAGGGCTCTGATATTCCTGCATGAGGAGGGCAGGGTTTTAACTTGGGCTGTAAATATCCATTAAAAAAGTTAATATCATTTTAATAGTTTAACACAGTGGCTATGGTTCCATGGCAGGGCTGCTCCAGGCAGAGGTCCTGCTGGCCGGCTCTGTTGTGGGTAGGTGAGGGGCTGCTCCAGCCTAGCCTTTCTGGGGGGCCAGGCTGATGTTTACTGAGTTACCAGTGAACCTTTTACATCCCTAGTTTGAACATCACTTCCCTTTCCTATCACACACCAAGGGGTCTGCAAACTGACACTTTTCTACATACGCTGCTTTCTCCTATTTGCTGCTGCCTGGAGAGACAAACGCAGCAACCTAACATCACAGAAGGAACCCAGCTGGTCAGAAAGAAAACAGGACAGGTGCCCCATGAAAAACTATTCCTTCACATGCATTCTCAAAGATGAAGGGTGGTACAATTCCTCCATCTCCTGGAACAGTGGCTTTCCACAGCATGGAAGCAGCATTTTGGCACGTCTGAGCGAGGCAGGAGAGTTTCTGTGGATAAGGAATGGGACTGACATTCTGTGGTTCATGTCTCAATTCTGACCTAGCACAAGTCATTGCATCTCTATGCCTCAGATCATAATGGAGCTAATGATCCTGTGTTTAATGAGATCACAAACTCCACAGGGCAGAGGGTGGCTCATTACTTATATAGACCCCACCTAGTAAAATGGGGCCCTAACCTCAGTTGGGGTCTCAGCACTAGCCTCAATCTTGCTGTGTAGTAGATCAACAGCTGCCAATCCAGCAGCATTCCTGAGGGTGGGGGAGGCTGTTGGCTTATTAAGAGTGAGTCAGTTTCATTCTGCAGAGCTTTGCATGCCGCAAAGAACAGCAGGAACTAAATCTGGAAAAGCATCAGCCTGCTAGTTATGCTGGGCCTCAAGCCCCCGCGTCAGATACCTTGAGCGCAGGGGCTTTATTTAGTGCTCTGAAACAGCAACTGTGGCATTCCAGGCAACCCTTTCCACATGGATTTCTCCTGAATCAGCTCAGGAAGGGCTGGGTGAGGTACTCATCAGTCAAACTGCCACCTACTAAACACACTTCTACTGGGACCACCTGCAAACAATGGAGGATTCAAATTTACAATCCATCTGGCTGTAAAAGCACCTTGGAACTAAGGGCAGCAGCATACTGAAGTCAAGCACACACTGGTCCAATACCCATGTGAATATGCCTTACTAGGCAGCAGAATCTAGTGCAGCGGTGGGCAACCTGCAGCCCAAGGGCCGCACATAGTCCATTGGAGGTCTATGCATGACCTGCAAGACATTTTGTTTACTGTTGTCCATACACAGGGTTGCCAGATTCTGCTGATCTCCATTTGCATAGTTTTTCCCCTACTGATATTACTAGAGCAACATGCACATAAAGCAAGGGCACAAAGCGAGGTGCATGCTGACTGTACACAACACTGACAGAGAGCTGTGCGCTCCCTCTGCATCCAAAGAGTAGCTACAGTTCGAGTGACACACCCAGCAAATTCTAGGTATACTAGAGCAGTTAGCAAAACTAGCCTATCCCAGGAGACCTTCTTTGTTACAACAAACTTGTGACCCATTCGTGTGGTCTGCTCACTAGCCTCAGTTGCCCATCGCTGGTTTAGTGGGATAGAGAGGGTGGGCTGGGAGTGAGGAACCATGGACAATAACCCTCTCTCTGGAAGACACATGGCAGGAGTCTAACAGGCAGGGATCGGAAGGGACTGAGAGGCCAGGAAGTCCAGGTTCTATCCCCAAATCTTCCACGACTTGTCTGTAGGAGGCACCCGTTTTAAGAAGAATTAAGCGGCATAAAAGCAGACACTGGAAACTGCTGGCAGAGACCACAATTTTCCAAAGGAGACTGAGTTAGGCACCTGAACTCAGATAATTCAGTGGTATTTGTGAGCAGAATGGCTCCTTCAGTGTCTCAATCTCACCCCACTGCAGCAATTATGCCATACCCACCCTGACGTCAATGCTTAAAACAGGGACAAACTGACTCCTAATGGGTTTTCTTTCCAGGACCAACCCCTCCTGCCAAGGCTCTCCAGCAGATACTTACTTGTTTTCGAAGGATATTGTGACCGAGTCTTCATGCACATCTTTCACAAAGCCCTGTGGAGGGAGAACGGAAGACAGCATAAGAGATCCCCCGGGATGTAGATTCCATTGAACAGCAAACCCAGATATTAACAGTATTGTGCTGGGAACCAATTCCGCCCTGTTAACTTTGGGATTTGGGTACTGGCAATGGGAAGGCTCTCTCGGAAGAAATGAACTCAAATATAGGCAGGTTTGCTAAGCTGCAGCTCCAGAGCCTTCCACAGCACCCGCTTTCCAAACCTGCTTGTGCACAGGGAGCATACAGGAGGTAAAAGTCTGCAGGCTGGGTGGGCAGGACTGGGGGGAGAGGGGGGGGCCTGGCAGATCATTGCAACTTTCTAACAAACAGAATATACTTCAACTGCAGCTAGACACACACCACCTGTGTGTGGGATTAAGGTCTCAGCACTATTGGCCTGGGTCCACAGCCCTGGCTCCTGGGGTCAAGCAATTTTAGCAGAATAGTGGGTTTAGGATTTTTTTAAGTAGGTTTCTAACTCTCATGGTTGTGAAGAAACACGAAAACATGACCTGAGTGTAACTGACCCAGTGATAGTGATAGAAATGTAGCCGTGTGATGTCTGTCTGAAACCACAGCTCTTAGAAGGGTGAACTGCCCCAAAGATATCTGACCCAGCAAGGCTGCCCAGCTCTGCAGAGTCTGAACCAAATGCTCTCTGCAAGGGGATCTGTCCCAAGCCTTTCAATTCCACATGCTGCTGCACTGAGGGCTGCCCTAGCCAAACTCACCCCAGCAAAGGACTGTGTGTGTGTGTGTAGAAACACACAGCAGACCTGCTGCTCCATCCATGCAGACACACCCAGCTGCTAGGGTCCCCCAGATCTCTAGGGGAAAGAAGGGGGACCTATGCTGCCACCCTTTTCACTCCCTTGAGCAAACCATGTCACTGCTATTGGCCTGAGTTTCCTCATCTGTAAAATGAGGGTGACAACTTTGACCTCCCTTGTAAAGAGCCTTGAAGTCTATGAATGAAAAGCGCTAAGAGCTAGATGGCATCGATTCCACTCTTCACTAATAGCCATCTCCCTCCTGTTATTAGGGTCAGAGACAGAAAGGAGGAAAGCCCTGTATGACAACTTGGCATCTTCACAAGGTGTCCTGGTTTTCAGGAAATGCTGGTCACATACTTGGTGGATGCCATGGACTTTCTGCAGGATCAGGCCACCTCCAAATCTCTTAAAAGTTTTGGCTAGAGTTACCAGGATGAGAGCAAAGAGGTAGAATGGTTTTGAGGCTAAAGAACTTGGCTGAGATCCATGTTTGAACCCTGGGCCTGCCACCAAAACTCTGCGCAACTACAATTGTGTTTCATCTCTGCTTTTTTTTTTTTTTTTTAAAGGGGTAACCCTTTTTGTATCCCTCTTCTATTTAGATTGCTAGTTCTTCTGGAGCAGGGCCTGTCTCCCACTGCAGCTGTGCAGTGGCCAGCCCAATGATAGGGGGGGGAAGCAGCTGGCCTCCCTCTCAGCCCACACCTGATATGGGCCGGAAACTTAGTTGCGACCTATTATACAAGCAACAGATGAAGTGGTCATCTGTAGCACACTGCAAATATAGATGCAGATATCCATGCTAGGGATGTTAAATATCAGTTAATTGAATAGTCAATTAACCTCATGAATTCTTATCAGTTAATCAACTATTTTATAGTCCCCGGGCAGCCTGTCTGGGGGTAGGTGTCTGAGCTCCTGGACCCAGCATGAGCCGGATTGTCTGCTTGCCTGGCTTCTAATACAGAGTAGGTCCAGGACCCTGGGCAAGCTGGGACTGAATCAGGCTGTTTACCAGGGGGTGGGGGGAAAATGAGTGTAGTCTATAGCATTAACCTATAAGCTTTGGCTTATCAGTTAATCGACTACACTATTACATCGCTAATCCATAGCTCATTTTTGTGGAAATGGATGCAGATGCAGATACAAATTTTGTATCTAGAACCCTGCAAATTTGTGGATATCCAGTTTATATCTGCAGCTCATTTTTGAGGATATATAGATGCAGATTCTAATTTTTTTAATCTGTGCAGCACTCTAGTCAAACAGCAAAACCACCAACCTGAAGGGCCCCCGATTCTCAGTCCTGATCTACCCACTAGCCCACACTGCTGCCCCAACACAGAAGGCTAAGAAGGTAACTGATGCATGGCATGGAGCAGCAAAGTGGGCCCAACAAATATTGTGCTCCTGAGTCTGGGCTATTTGATTGCAGTCCCAGTGGTTCAACCACCAGGATGTCAGCATCAATTAGGAAACACTGCAAGGAGCAGTGGGGGTGGGAGGCAGGCGATCTTGTCCTACATTTGTATTTTAAGGCCAGTTCACAAGAACAGGTGCTCAGAGACACTCTCCAATCACTACCACCCCCCGTGACAGCTGCCTGCTCGTAGCTAGCGCACCATTATGCCTCAAGACCCGCTTGCTGCAGGAGCAGGGATGTGCTCAATCTAAAATAAGGCCCTTTTGAGTGGCAAAGTGGAATTGGATCATGCAGCAAGGCTGATTCCCCACTAGACTGGTTCAGATTCAAGACTACAATACTGTGTTCTACAGCACCTAGCACTTGGTGGTCTCTATGTACTAATGGAATAAATAGTCCCTGGTCTCCCGTAGAACTGCCTGGGGTGGGGGGAGGGGGAAATCAGATCTCTGGAAACAGATTGAGCCTTCACCTAGTTATCAGCCACCCCAGCTCTCTATTGAAGAACCAAATCCTCCTACATAGGCCTGGTAAGGCTTTGGGGAGATCTAAGTTAAATCCCACCTCCACCAAGTCAATTCATCTCTTGGTAGAATGGGCAATGTAAGCCTGCCTTTGTCGAAGTAGATTAGGGTGGGGAACCTAAGGCCTGGATTTGGCCCCCGGAAGCTCAGGGCCCCCACCCCAGCATAGGGGAGCCTGCAGCAGTGCTCTAGCCCCCTCACTGCCCCACTGCAGGACTGGAGAACACACAGTCTACTCCTCACTTTGCTCTCTGGTGTACGATGAGAATGTAGGGAGTCTCTTTCTCCTTGTCAGTCACGAACCACAGTGTGTGTGTGGGGAGGGGGGGGGGGGGGTTGGGGTTTTTTTTTTCTGCTTCTCACTTGTATGTGGCCCCCAACTGATTTTTCTATGGGTCAGCGACCACCCAAAAAAGGTTCTCCACCCCTGATTTAGACTGTAAAAATCTTTGGGGTTAGGGAGAGCAGCTAGCACATCAGAAATACAGGAACTGCTAAACTAGGTCAAACATGCAACTTTTTCAGTTTTATATTCTCTCCAACACAGGGCAGTCCCAGATCCTTCAGAAAAAGGTTCAACAAGCTTGTGTTAGGAGGCAAGATAATCAGCCTTCTGCATTAGGCCTCATCTCTGTTAAAGTTTCATCTTCCTTCCACTGCTTCCAGTATTCATTGTTCTAACTTTGGATATTCTTACACAAAAACAAGGTGATAGCTTTTACTGAAGCAACTTCATTATCCATGTAAACATCCAATCACTTTTTGGATCTGGATGTACCTTCTGGCCTTAAAAATGCTAACATAAGAACGGCCGTACTGGGTCAGACCAAAGGTCCATCTAGCCCAGTAGCCTGTCTGCTGACAGTGGCCAGTAACAGGTGCCCCAGAAAGGGTGGACCAAAAACAATGATCAAGCGATTTGTCTCCTGCCATCCTTCTCCAGCCTCTGACAAACAGAGGCCAGGGACCAATGATCAAGCGATTTGTCTCCTGCCTTCCCTCTCCAGCCTCTGACAAACAGAGGCCAAGGACACCATTTTATCCCCTGGCTAATAGCCTTTTATGGACCTAACCTCCATGAATTTATCTAGCTTCTCTTTAAACTCTATTATAGTCCTAGCCTTCACAGCCTCCTCTGGCAAGGAGTTTCACAGGTTGACTACACGCTGTGTGAAGAAGAACTTTCTTTTATTAGTTTTAAACCTGCTACCCATTAATTTCATTTGGTGTCCTCTAGTTCTTCTATTATGGGAACTAATAAATAACTTTTCTTTATCAGCCCTCTCCACATCACTCATGAATTTATAGACCTCTATCATATCCCCCCTCAGTCTCCTCTTTTCTAAACTGAAAAGTCCCAGTCGCTTTAACCTCTCCTCATATGGGACCCATTCCAAACCCCTAATCATTTTAGTTGCCCTTTTCTGAACCCTTTCCAAGGCCAAAATATCTTTTTTGAGGTGAGGAGACCACATTTGTACACAGTGTTCAAGATGTGGGCGTACCATAGTTTTATACAGGGGTAGTAAGATATTCTGTGTCTTATTTTCTATCCCTTTCTTAATAATTCCTAGCATTCTATTTGCCTTTTTGACTGCTGCTGTCACTGTGTGGAAGTTTTCAGAGAACTATCCACGATAACTCCAAGATCTCTTTCCTGATTTGACGTAGCTAAATTAGCCCCCATCATACTGTACATATAGTTGGGGTTATTATTCCCAGATGTGCAATACTTTACACTTATCCACATTAAATTTCATTTGCCATTTTGTTGCACAATTGCTCAGTTTGGCGAGATCTTGCTTCTCAAACCCTTCGTAACCAATACCCCCAGCTATCTCCGAGACACTACTGACTTCCTAAGGAAACTACAAAACATCGATAACCTCCCCAATAATACCATCCTTGCCACCATGGATGTAGAAGCTCTATATACCAACATCCCACATGAAGACGGATTACAAGCAATTAGAAACACTATCCCAGAGGACACTACTGCCAACCTGATAGCAGACCTATGTAACTTTGTTCTCACCCACAATTATTTCCAGTTTGAGAACAACTTATACCTCCAGATCAGCGGCACAGCCATGGGTACACGCATGGCCCCACAGTATGCTAACATCTTTATGGCTGACCTAGAACAACGTTTCCTCAACTCCCGTCCCCTTTCACCCCTCCTCTACCTACGGTACATCGATGACATCTTTATGATCTGGACACATGGCCAAGAAACACTGGAGATATTCCACAGAGATTTCAACAACCTACACCCCACCATCAACCTCAGCCTGGACCATTCTACACGAGAGATCCACTTCCTGGACACCACCGTACAAATCAACAATGGAAAATTAGACACCACTCTCTACAGAAAACCCACTGACTCATACAGTTACCTACATGCATCCAGCTCCCATCCAGAACACACCACACGATCCATCGTCTATAGCCAAGCCCTTCGATACAACCGCATCTGCTCTAACCCCACTGACAGAGACCAGAAGCTTCAGGATCTCTACCAAGCATTTATAAACCTCAACTACCCACCCGGAGAAATAAAAAAGCAAATTGAAAGAGCCAGACGAATACCTAGAAACCATCTACTTCAAGACAGACCCAAGAAAACCAACAATAGAACACCACTTGTCATCACCTACAACCCCCAACTTAAACCTGTCCAACACATTATCAATAAACTACAGCCTATATTGGAACAGGATACCATACTCAAAGAGGCTCTGGGAGACAGACCCATAGTCTCCTATAGACAACCACCTAACCTCAAGATGATTCTTACCAACCACCACAGGACATACCACACTAATACCAACCCTGGTACCTTCCCTTGCAACAAACCCCGTTGCCAGCTTTGTCCACATATTCATTCTGCTGATACCATTATTGGACCTAACCAAGTGAGTTATAAGATCAAGAACACATATTCCTGCGCATCCAGAAATATAATCTATGCTATCATGTGCCGAAAGTGTCCGTCTGCTATGTACATTGGACAAACATCTCAGACACTTCGCCAAAGGATTAATGCCCACAAAACAGATATCAGACAAGATCACAAAGAGAAAACAGTTTCTTGCCACTTTAACCAGAAAGGACACTCTCTAAATGACTTAGCCACCTGCATTCTGCTACAAAGACCTTTTACATCTGCACTTGAAAGGGAATCCTCTGAACTGTCATTCATGTTAAAATTCGACACTTACCACCAGGGACTTAACAAGTCTTTGAACTTTCTCACCCATTATCAAGACAGTTTCCCCAATTATCACCTGTAATACCATTAACTCACAAACATCCCACTCTCCCTACCTCTAATATCATCAATTCACAGACACTTACCTTCCTTCCTCCCCCTTCCCACCCCCCCGCATCCCCCTTCTGTTCTGCAATGTGATTTGTCCTTTTCATATTTGTTCATTTTTTTAAATTGTATCCTTTGGTATATATGGTTGTGACTACTTTCTTCCACTATTTGATCTGAGGAAGTGGGTCTGGCCCACGAAAGCTCATCATCTAATAAACCATCTTGTTAGTCTTTAAAGTGCTACATTGTCCTGCATTTTGCTTCTGAAAATCTAAGTATACTAGATCTACTGGATCCCCCTTGTCTGCATGTTTGTTAACCCCTTCAAAGAACTCTAATAGATTAGTAAGACATGATTTCCCTTTATAGAAACCATGTTGACTTTTATCCAAAAAATTATGTTCTTCTACATGCCTCACAATTTTATTCTTTACTATTGTTTCGACTAATTTGCCTGGTACTGAAGATTTTGCCAAGATTTTGGCCTTGTTATCACGTGGCAGTGAATTCTACAAGCTAACCACGTTATGAAAAAAAATCACGTCCTTTGCTCAGTTTTGCATTTGCCTCCTTTTCGTTTCACTTGGTGTTCCTTTGCCATGGTCCTATGAGAAGACAAACCTCAATTACGTTCTCTCTCCCAGCTATTATGTTACAGATTTCTCTTTTCTAAGGAAACAATCCCACAATAAATCGAATGCCATTTTCAGGGGTTGGAAAGAATCTTCCCCCAGGTTAGGCTGACGGGGTGCGTGTATGTAAGCCCTTTTCAGCTTGCTTGCTAGAATCATTGGGTGTATCTCACCTAATTCCCTGCCTTAGGCATTGGTGTCACCTTAGTCACCTATTCTCTGCGTGTGGCACAAAGTCTAACCCAGGTCATCGGTTCAATATGGGAGGTGACGGCAAAGTTCGGTGGCCGGTGATTGACAGGGCAGGCAAATAATCTGATGGTCCATTCCAGCCTTAATTTCTTGTCACATAAGAGGTTAGCCAGGCTACTGCTCATTCTCACTGCCCTTCTCTAAACCCTCCCTTAACTCTGCTGTCTCCTTTCTAAGGCCAGTTCCAGAAAGGCATGACGTTTTCAGTATGACGGGGCCCTCTCAGTTGGACTGCCAAAAAAAGCGTTAAATAAAATGATAAATACTGTAGAGCCAATTCCTTTTTCCTGCTGTTTTAACCCCCCAGTCAACACCTTCTAGACA